AGCTCATATTAGAGAGATCTCAAAAATTCTAATCGCCATCAAAGCGTGTCCGGGAATACAGTGTAACTTAATATTTCCTGACTTATAGGTACATCTAACTCATTTAGGACATAATGCCATTGGTGATATTTTCGCACATCTCAAAAGCAAGGTAATGAGGACAGATTGCCACATCTTGCTTGGAGATTTGTTTATGTTTTGATGTTTACTCTCCTTCTCTGGTTATCGTTCCCCTCTAGTTATTCTGATTTGAATCCTGAGATTGATTACCCGAAAGTATTAATAATCTGATAATGATAAGTGGAAAGGTAATGAAGATAATTAACCGAGAAACTGATCTGCTCGGAACTTTATGAATCTTTAAGAATACCAAATTGCTTTAAAATGGAGATGAAGAAGGAGGAAGAGTAAGTGGAGGAGGTGAAGAGGGAACAAAAGACAAAAAAACAAAAGAGTGAGAAAGAAGAACAAGTCCAGGAGGTTGAAGATGAATGAAAAGGAAAGAGACAATGATGAAGAAAGAGAGGAAAAGACGAAGAAAAAAAGAAAAAAAAGAAAAGAATACGAATACGAAAAGAGAATGAACAAAAAGAAAGAATGAAAACGAAGAAAACAGCATCCAGAGGCGGATATAAAGAAGTCATATGACAGGCTGAGCTCCTGGTCTTGGGTTAAAAGCACGGTAAATTTCCGCCAGAGGGTGAGAGAGAGAAAGGGCCTTTAAAACGGACAGCTGTGACGGAAACGGACAGCTGTGACGTTCAATGTTTTATAAAGTCAGGGAGCGAGGCCGAACTCTGAATTATACACGCTGAACCTGAACAAAGAATTACCTGAAGAGGGGACAGCGAAAGAAGGAACGGATGAATAATTAGGCGACTTGATAAAGAGGGGAGTAAATAATAATGATCTAAACTCATACGGTGTTACTGTTTAGTGTTTCTGGATAACATTTTAATGATTATAGATAGATGATATAAAGGTCATACGATATAGATAACATGTCGGAAAGAAAAGTACAGAGAATTGCCAGATCTCAGACTCTCTCTCTCTCTCTCTTCTCTCTCTCTCTCTCTCTCTCTCTCTCTCTCTCTCTCTCTCTCTCTCTCTCTCTCTCTCTCTCTCTCTCTCTCTCTCTCTCTCTTTCTTTCTTTTTTTTTTCTCTTCTCCTTTTGAGCATTCAAAGGAACAGGTATGAATGGCACTCGAGCATTTTTTTCCCCTTCCTTTTTTCTTCTTTATTACACCTCTTAGTACACTTCCTTTGTCTTTAGCAGTTTCATAGTTTATAGCGGACATCAAACCCGGTATCAAGAAGTTGTTTCTCGTCTGGAGAATCTTTTATATGAAAATCTTCATCAGGAAAAGCTGTAAAGTGTCTGCTTACGGAGCTTTGATGACGTAATGAACAGAACTCTTTGTTTACATCTTAATTACTTTTGTATCTTTTATGCGAAATGGAAGTTAGGACATTGCATTTTTTTGTAACTTTATAGTTTTTTTCTTCTTTTTGTGTCTTTTCCATTTTTTCTTCTTTTCTCTTCTTTTTCTCTCTCTTTCCTTCTCCTTTCATTTTTCTCTTCATCCTATCTTCGTTCTCTTTCTCTCTCTCTCTCTCTATCTATCTATCTATCTATCTATCTATCTATCTATCTATCTATCTATCTATCTATCTATCTATCTATCTATCTATCTATCTATCTATCTATCTGTCTATCTGTCTATCTGTCTATCTGTCTATCTGTCTATCTGTCTATCTGTCTATCTCTCTATCTCTCTATCTCTCTATCTCTCTATCTCTCTATCTCTCTATCTCTCTCTATCTCTCTCTCTCTATCTATCTATCTATCTATATATCTATCTATCTATCTCTCTATCTATCTATCTATCTATTTATCTATCTTTCTCTCAAAACTAAATGAAAGAAAGAAAATCAATAAACAGGGGGAAATTTAAACACAAATAACTAAATGAATAAACAAAAAACAATAAACAGGGGGATATAAACACAAATAACAAAAACTAAAGCAATAAAAAGGGGAAAAAATAACTAATCGAATGAACAAAAAGCAATAAACAGCTGGGAAAATTAAACAATAAATAGAGAGTGGGAACTAAACACAAATAACTAAATGAATAAACAGAAAAACAATAAACAAGGGAAAAATAAACACAACAAACTAAATGAATAAACAGAAAAACAACAAACGGGAAAAATAAAAACAACTAAATAAATGAACAAAAAAGCAACAAACAACGAAAAAAAAAAACACAAACAACTACACGAAAGAACAAAAAAAAAAAACATAACCAGGGAATTAAAAAAAAATAAAAAATAAACAAGAGAAAATAAACAATAAACAATAAACAGGAGGAAAAAAGAGGAAAATATCCAACCTGTCCGCAAAAATCGGCATCTTCCATGTGACGGCAAAGGTTAATCGTATTCCTCCCTTCGAACTTTTTCAGCCAGTGGAACCCAAGAGGACGGGATTTGTTG